GTGGCACGAGTGCTCTGCCAGCGAAAAAAGGCTCCTTGAGCTCCGTTTTCACTGGCAGAGGGTTGCAGGAGGCCGTGGCAGCCGAAAACTGAGCTTGGGAGTCCGTTTTCGCTGGCAGAAGCACCGCGGGCCAGTCCTTCACTGTTTCCAGGGTGGCCCTGTGGGCCAGATCTAAGTACCCCGTGGGCCGGATCCAACCCCCTGGCCTTGAGTTTGACACCCCTGATCTAGTCCAACACCCTACTCAAGCAGAACCTCTACCATTCTGGACAAATGGCTGCCCAGACTCCTCTTCAAAACCTCCAGTGATGGAGCACCCACAACTTCTGGTGACAAGTTCTTCCACTGATTCATTGTCCTAACTGATTTGAGAACTTCTATGGAGGATCTCCCTTGAACTTCCTCCTCCCAACCCAACTTATCTAAACTTCCCTGCGTCTTGGTCCCTTTCTCCTGGGAATCCAGACTGTGTTCCACCACACCTAGATAAAATCCAGGGCAGCCTCCTTACAGGTGGATAGACTTCCCAGCTTTCTCAACAGTGGCCATATTGACGATGGAACTGGTAGGCAGGCCTTCAGCTTGGTGGTGTAGGGTTCTAATAACCACCATTTGCTGCTCCAGTGGGTGGTGAGAATCAAAATGTAAATATTGAGTCTGCAGGCTACAACAGTCCTTTCAGCAGTTCCAAGAAGGCTCCACACCCATGTGCGCTACTCCAGTGACCAAGGACACAGAAAAAACCTTCAAGCAGCCTCAACCGGTCTCTAAAAGAAATTCAAATGACCAGCTGTCTGCAAGGAGTATCAATTGTCGTCCACCCCCCCCGAAGATTTTTCCCTTCTCATCCAAGAAGCTTCCTTCCGTTCTGATTGAAGAACCAAACTGTTAGCCAGAACTGAAGAAGCTTCTCTAATAAGAAGCAAAACCTCTTCAAAGAAAAAACAAGAAAGTCCAGTTGCCTGTTGAAAAAGCACCTTTCGGACAACCACAACCTGAATGACTGAGAATAGATATCCATAGATATTTTTAAAATATCTTAAAAATGATGTTTAAAGAATATTTGCAAGCAACCCCCCCCCCCCAATGATCACTTTGGCGTACGTGTTATTCATCTGGTCAAGTTCTTTTTATTGATTAAATTAGCATTTCCGTACAACTGCATAGCATTGGCCACTTTTCAGAATAGAAAA